ACAGAGATGGCACTACTCACTTTTGCTGATGACTTTTGTCAGAATCTAAATGAAGAAACTGTGCCCCTTATGGTCATTTAAGAAGTTTCTGGCCTTCAATATCTATAACCATGGTATTGTTCTGGACCAAATTAAACAATTAGTGATTGGGAGCAGTGTTTTGTAATGGTTCCACTCTTTTCTAAGTAGGCTGCTCACATGATGGTAGGGAGGAATTGGCCAAAGGGTTTATCTTGTGGGGTGTCATAGGATTAATCCTACCCTTTTTAAAATATTTACATAAAGCTGCTGAGGGATGTCCATAGGCCTAGTGATGATTCCCAGTTATACATTATTATCCAAAGCCATTCAGGAGACATTATTATTTTGACTCAGTATCTAAAGATGTAAAATAAGTTTGATAGTTATCCATCAAGATTATTTTTCATCTGTTGGGTTGTCTGTCTCTTAATGTGGTGGCATTTCCACCAATTGAGCAGACTTATGATTTAGAGCAGAGGTCTTCAAACTCGGCCCTTTTATGACTTGTGGACTTCAATTCCCAGAATTCCTCAGCCAGGCATGCTGGCTGAAGAATTCTGGAAGTTGAAGTCCACAAGTCATAAAAGGGCCAAGTTTGAAGATTCCTGACTTAGAGGTTCTCCTGCACTTGTGGCTATGTCTGGATAGGGTAGCAGAAATTAGGGTCTTTGGCCAACTTTAGCTGGTGAATCAGTTGTAACTGAAAGGTGAGGATCTCACCACAGTGGCCCGTGCTTTTATCAGCACCCCTTTGAATTCTGCAGTGCTGTTTACATGAGGCTGTTTTTGAAGACCACCTGAAAGCTTCAGTTGGATGAGAATACAATCTACTTGTTGGCAGACATTGCTGAAAAGAGCATATTACACCTGCTCCAAGTCCTGTACTAAGTGATTATGGTCCCTGGTTTTTTTTAACAGCTATTATGAGAAAACAGCTCCATATAATGCTGGGCCAAGTCTTAGGAATCATATCTTTTATGTACTTCAAAGCATTCTTGCATATGCATATACACTCAGGTACTAAATACAGGCAATCCTCAACTTACAATCACAACTGGGGCTGGAATTTTACAACCAATTTTACCATGGTCATTAAGCGAATCACCACAATCATTAAGTGAATCACATGGCAAGAAAGGTGATAAAATGGGGCAAAACTCACTTTACAACTGCCTTGCTTAGCAATAGGGCTCAATTGTGATTGTAAATCGAGGACTACCTGTAGTATACACACTTGCACACATGTATATTTATGGCAGTAGAGAATAGAACATGGTGGAGACTGAAAGACAAGACAAAAGTCTCATTCTTTTTTCTGATCTATCTGCTTTAGATCACTGCTTCTCAAATGCATTTTTTCTACTCTTTATACTTTGGGAAGATTATTAAAAGGAAGGAAGTCTCCTCAGTCTTGGTTAAATCAATATTTTCTGCTATTTTTGGTAGTAAGGAAACTGCAACCTTGAGCATGGGTGGAAATTGGGAAAATTCATTCATACTACTCCCCATATTCCTGTCTCCCCATTGCCACAGGGAAGATGCAGTGTGTTTTCTATCAATCAATTATAGATCTGTCTTCTGTACACATAGTGGACATCCCTGACTTTGGCCATTAGGAATCTCCTCCCCCCATTTTTTTAACCATTTAAGTTAGTCAGTCTACACGAGAGTATACCTGTGTTGCATCTAAAAATAGATTCCTTTGTTTGTCCTATAATGTACATAATTTTACAAACCACTTTGTATTAATTAATACATGGTAAGCTCCAAGAGGTCTTTGCCCTATTGATGCATATCACAGAGGATTTATTCCCTGTATTGGAAGAATTCCTGGAATATAGTAAGGGAACTGGAAAGATGGGCTGCAGACCTGTATATAGGACATATAATAATAATAATAATAATAATAATAATAATAATAATAATAATAATAATAATAATAATAATAATAATAATAATAATAATAATAATAATAATAATAGTAAAGTTGGAAGGAAACTTGGAGGTCATCTAGTCCAACCCCATGCTCAGGCAGGAAACCCTATAACATTTCAGACAAATGGCTGTCCAGTCTCTTCTTAAAAACTTCCAGTGTTGGAGCATTCACCGCTTCTGGAGGCAGGTTGTTCTACTGGTTAATAGTTCTAACTGTCAGGAAGTTTCTCCTTAGTTCTAGGTTTCTTGTCTCCTTGCTTAGTTTCCACCCATTGCTTCTTGTCCTGCCTTCAGGCGCCTTGGAAAATAGCTTGACTCCCTCTTCTTTGTGGCAGCCCTTGGATATTGGAACACTGCTATCATGTCCCCCCTCGTCCTTCTCTTCATTAAACTAGACATACCCAATTCCAGCAGCCGTTCCTTATATGCTTTAGCCTCCAGTCCCCTAATCATCTTTGTTGCTCTTCTCTGTACTCTTTCTAGAATCTCAACATCTTTTTTACATCACGGTGACCAAAACTGGATGCAGTATTTCAAGTGTGGCCTTACCAAGGCATTGTAAAGTGGTATTAACACTTCACGTGATCTTGATTCTATCCCTCTGTTAATGTAGCCTAGCACTGTGGCAGCTGCAGCACACTGCTGGCTCATATTTAGGTGATTGTCCACTAGGACTCTGAGATCCCTCTCACAGTTACTACTATTGAGCAAGGTACCCCCTATACTATACCTGTACATTTGGTTTTTCTTGCCTAAATGTAGAACCTTGCTTTTTTCACCATTGAATTTCATTTTGTAAGATAGTGCCCAGTGTTCAGGTTTGTCCAGATCCTTCTGTATCTTAAGCCCGTCTTCTGGAGTGTTGACTATTCCTGCCAGCTTGGTGTCGTCTGTAAATTTGATGAGTTCCCCATCTATCCCCTGGTCCAAATAGTTAATGAAGATGTTGAAGAGCACTGGACCTAGAACAGAGCCCTGGGGCACCCCACTACACACTTCCCTCCATGTAGATGCGGTTCCATTGAGGACCACACGCTGAGTGTGGCCAGTCAGCCAGCTACGGATCCATCTGGTGGTGATGCTGTCTACCCCCACATTTTTCTATCTTGTCAAGTAGTAGATTGTGATTTACTTTATCAAATGTCTTATGGAAGTACAAGTAAATTATGTCCACAGCATTCCTCTGATCCACTAATTTTGTCACTTGGTCAAAGAATGCAATAAGATTTGTTTGGCATGATCTATTTTTGACAAACCCATGTTGGCTTTTAGTAATGACTTTGTTTGCCTCTAGGTGGTTGCTGATTCTTTGTTTGATTATCTTTTCCAGGTATTGAGGTCAGGCTGATAGGTCTGTAATTTCCTGGGTCCATTTTTTCCCCTTTTTTGAAGATGGGAACTACATCAGCTCTTTTCCAGTCCTCTGGTAGTTCCTCTGTGCTTCAGGATCTTTGAAAAATATAGTTCAGTGGTTCTGAGATCACATCTGCCAGTTCCCTGAGAACCTTGGGGTATAATCCATCTGGTCCTGGTGATTTGAACTCGTCTAGGTTGGACAGGTGCTCACTTACTATTTTCTTGCCTATCTTAACTTGTGTTTCTATTCTGTTTTTTATGGCACTATTTTTGATAGGTTGGTCTGTTTTTTCCTTTTGTGTAAAGACAGATGCAAAAAACGAGTTAAATAGTTCTGCTTTCTCCCTGTTGCTTGTCACCTTCTTGCCACTTTCACCCACTAATGGACCAATCATTTCCTTCACTTTTTTCTTGTTTTTTACATGTTGAAAGAAGCTTTTTTTGTTGTTATTTTTGACTTTGATCACAAGCCTTAGTTCATTATGAGCCTTAATCATAATCACTTCATCTTTGCAGGCTCGGGCTATTTGTTGATATTCTGATTTAGTTATGTGCCCCTCTTTCCTCTTTTTATACTTGTCCTTTTTATTTTTCAATTTATAAGAGAGTTCTTTATGCAGCCATGCTGGTTTCTTTTGAGAGCTATTATTTTTCTTCTTTGTTGGTATTGTGCTAGACTGGGCTTTTATTATCTCATTTTTCAAAATTTCCCAAGCTTCTTGAGTTGTTTTCCCCTGGAGGATTCTCATCCATGGAATCCTTCCCAAGCCCTCTCTAAGTTTATTGAAATAGGCTCTCTTGAAGTCCAAGACTCTAGTTTGACTGTGTTCTATTGCTTGTGCTTCCATAATGTTGAATTCCAATATTGCATGATCACTTCCTCCCAGGGTTCCTATAACTTCAACACCTTCTATCATTTCATCTGTTAGTGAGAATTAGATCCAAAATGGCTAATCCCCTAGTTCCCCTCTCTACTTTTTGGGAGACAAAGTTGTCTGCTAGGTTTGCCAGGAACCTGTTTGATCTTCCGCTTGGTGCAGAGTTTGTCTCCCAGTTGATGTCAGGGTAGTTAAAGTCACCCATTACTATTGTGATGTGCTTCCTACATACCTTAGTTAGCTGACTAGCAAAAAGTTCATCTATTTCCTCTGTTTGGTTGGATGGCCTGTAGTATACACCTATGGCAATGTCATTTCCCCCCCCCCTTTTATATTGACCCATGCAGCAGCCAATGGTTTAGGAACCATTTGTGAGGCTACTAAAATACCACAATATGGCTCAATGTTTAGAAAGAAAATCACTTTTAAGCCAATGGTTTTTTTGAATAGGTTACTTATAGAATAATAACCTTATGAATAAATGAAAATGTTGTGAAGTCGAGTAAAATGTAATTGTGAATGGCATGATGCACACTCAATTGAGTTGGTACTTCTTACATTTTTCATCCATGGGGTATTTAGGGATTTACTTCAGATGTTGTAAACATTATTTCAGTTTTTGGAGATTCTCAGCTGATGAAAGTAAACATTTTCCTCTTATCTCAAATAACATAATCTAAAGGTTTTGGGATGTGTCAAATATGCTGAACTAGCAAGTAGACAAATATTTTGAAGGTAATCTCCTAAACAAGCATTTCTTGATATATAGGTCACAATCTTTCTGGGGCAAGGCTGGAAGTTGTCGTCAGAATGGCACAGGTTTGGGAGCTGAAAGAGACCCCTGTGGTCATCAGTATTTTTCTTACTTTTTGATGCTAAAGTACACTGAATGCAAAGCAGTCTGACCTTTCAGAGCTCTGCATGAAACCTAGGTTTGTGTGTTTGTTTGTGTGTGTGTGTATTGTTGTTTTCCAAAAGAGAAATAATCATGCCAAAGCTTCGCCCTGTGGGGAGCATTTGCAATATATAAATGTATTAAATCAATAAATAAATGCATGGATGTATATTTCAAGAGCCCTATAAAAATTCTGATCGCCTAACTCAGTGCTTCCTCTCAAGGAAGAATTAAAAGAAGGGGATGGATGGAAATTCTGCCAGGCTGTGGGGGAGGTGGAGTCAGGACAAGTTGAGGGAAGGATTTGCAAAATCCAAACTTAAGGAAATGGGGCCTGGGAAAAGGTCTCCAAAGCAAGAAGGTGACAAGCAATAGGGAGAAAGCAGAACTATTTAACTCATTTTTTGCATCTGTCTTTACACAAAGGGAAAAAACAGACCAACCTATCAAAAATAGTGCCATAAAAAACAGAATAGAAACACAAGTTAAGATAGGCAAGAAAATGGTAAGTGAGCACCTGTCCAACCAAGACGAGTTCAAATTGCCAGGACCAGATGGATTACACCCCAAGGTTCTCAAGGAACTGGCAGATGTGATCTCAGAACCACTGAACTATATTTTTCAAAGATCCTGGAGCACAGAGGAACTACCAGAGGACTGGAAAAGAGCTGATGTAGTTCCCATCTTCAAAAAAGGAAAAAAAATGGACCCAGGAAATTACAGACCTATCAGCCTGACCTCAATACCTGGGAAGATCCTGGAAAAGATAATCAAACAAAGAATCAGCAACCACCTAGAGGCAAACAAAGTCATTACTAAAAGCCAACATGGGTTTGTCAAAAATAGATCATGCCAAACAAATCATATTGCATTCTTTGACCAAGTGACAAAATTAGTGGATCAGAGGAATGCTATGGATATATTTGGACTTCAGTAAGGCATTTGATAAAGTAGATCACAACCTAGTACTCGATAAGATAGAAAAAAGTGGGTTAGACAGCATCACCACCAGATTTATTTATTTATTTTTATTTATTTATTTTATTAAATTTATATCCCGCCCTTCTCCTTGCGGACTCAGGGCGGCTAACAATCGAATAAAAATACAAAGATAACATTACAGGATTAAAATTAATTAAAAAGGAAATATTTAACTGTGATCTGATTAAAATGTAATTAAAACCCCCTCTAAAAATTTCCCCTAGGCCAGTCCTGCAAGCTGGAACAACCATGTCTTGAGGGCGCGGCGGAAGGAAGGGAGATCAGGGATCACCCTGATCTCTGGGGGTAGTTCATTCCAGAGGGTGGGAGCTCCCACAGAGAAGGCCCTCCCCCTTGGGGTCGCCAGCCGGCACTGTCTGGCCGACGGCACCCTGAGGAGACCCACTCTGTGGGAGCGTACAGGTCGATGGGGGGTAATCTGCGGCAGAAGGCGGTCTCGAAGGTATCCGGGTCCGATGCCATGGAGCGCTTTAAAGATGATGGTCAACACCTTGAAGCACACCCGGAAGGCCACCGGCAGCCAATGCAGCTCGCGCAGCAGCGGTGTTATATGGGAGCGATGAGTCCCTCCCAACACCGCCCGCGCGGCCGCATTTTGGACTAGCTGGAGCCTCCGGGTGCTCCTCAAGGGGAGCCTTATGTAGAGAGCATTACAGTAGTCCAGGCGGGAGGTGACAAGGGCATGAGTGACCGTGCGTAAGGCGTCCTGGTCCAGAAAAGGTCGCAACTGGTGAATCAGACGAACCTGATAAAACGCCCACCTGGTCACGGCTGCCAACTGGTCATCCAGTATCATCCGTGGATCCAGGAGGACACCCAAGTTGCGTACCCGATCCGAGGGAGCCAATGTTTCGCCCCCTATAGTCAGCGATGGAATCAGCTGACTATGCCGAGGCGCCGGTAACCACAGCCACTCGGTCTTGGACGGGTTGAGCCTGAGTCTGTTCCTCCCCATCCAGACCCTCACGGCCTCCAGACATCGGGTCATCACGTCA